GTTAAAAATTATTTTTTTATTTTGTACAAACAAAATAAATATATTGAAAAATATAAAAATAATAAAAAATTATACTTCAGATGTTAATTTAGTATCAAAAACGTAAAATATTTGAGTAGCCCAAGACATAGCCAAAGATTGAAGCGCCACAGCACTGGCGAAAATTTAAATTTGCCGACTGGAATTCTTTCGGATGATTGACTTTCGGAAAATCGACGCTCTACTGTATATAGAATTGACAAAGATATTAAATATGACATTTTTAGAATAATGCATGTAGATATGCAATTAACATATTACTGTATATGTGACATGTAGAATAGCAAATCAGCTGGGTCTATATTTTAGTCATTGTTTCTCAAAGACAACAGATAATGACTAGAATGTAGCACAGATAGAACAGACAACAGACAGAAGCAAATTTATCAGATCAACAGAATGGTAGAAAACTCTGGAAGTATTTGGAATAGATGCAATTGTTACTGACTGGGCTACAATTTGAAAAAATTGTAGACCTACAAATTCCCACTGTCTGTCTGTCATCCTTCCTTAATCTCGAGAATGGAATTAGATAGATGAAAGTGGGACCAGATATGGAAAGATTGGGGCAGGAGGCCCTGATTAAATATACGAACTTCTGATGCAAACCAGAATTCAGGTTATTTCAATTAAAAAATTTTTCCCAGAAAGGAGTTAGGTAGATGATTGGCATGACACTATTGCTGACAGGAAAAGTATGATGTACAGAGACAAGGCACTGCTAACTTGAGGTGGAGAGCATATATTTTAAATAAAATAAATATGATTAAAATTTGCAGCCAGCATTTTGATGATATCAATAGCACAAACCTTTTAATCCAGAATGAGCAATTTAAATTATTTGATTGATTGCATGATTACTTGGATGAAAAGTCATTTCTAAACTTTAAAAATACTTGGTCTTTATTTTTTCTATTGTTATTATTTTTATATAACAACTTTAAAATAATTTAACATTTACCTATCTAATTAATATTATAAATAAAAATATATTTGTTAAGAGTACAGATTATATCAACTGAAATTTAATTTTATTGTAAAGTAGGTCTTTGATTTAAAAGAAAAATTTAGAACCCATAAAAAAACCATCAAAATATTTATATTAACCCTTTGGTGAATGTGCTTTTCAGAAGCTCGCGAGAGGGCACATCGCGGCAATTACACCGCATATGTAATATTACTTGATTTAAGTCAATAATTAATTATTGTTTTGAAAATATGAATCAGATATTACCAGAAAATTAATTTTATGACATTTTAATGAACAAATTGGTTATAAAATATTTAGATAATAAAAAAAAGTTACTTTATATTCATGTGATGTTCACCTTCACACATGGCACATATAATCACTATATTCCGATGCTTTTTGCAAATATTTCTACCCATTCCTGACAAATTGATTTTTTCCTATTGCTTTTGTGTATGCCACAAATAAATTCTAGGTTATTGCCACTACTTTGGATGGCTCTTTGTTTTCCTTATATTTTTCAAAAATATAGACTAATATAAATTAAAAAATTTTAAAATTTATAGAAACTTATGACAGTGTTAATTTAATATTTAATAAACTTGCAAATATTGACTTACTTTATTAAAAAAATTAAACACATATATATAAAAGTATACTGATATTTTAGTTACATGGCAGAGCATGTAGCGGCAGTTACAATGCAAATGAGGTATGACTTCATTCAAAGACCAGTAACAACTAAACGGTTAGTATAACTGATCCAATTTCATAAACATGTTGTATCTTGTATTATGAAGAGAGAATACTATGACGAACTTCTGCAATAATTAAGTACAACTTCAAACAAAAGACTTCATCTTTATTTTGCGGCAATTTTCCACAGGTGCGTTCACCAAAGAGTTAAATTTTATTTGCAGGTATGTTATGACAAACATTTTTGATCCTAATAAGGCGGCCATACATGTTAAGTTAATCCTTTAGGCTGCCTGACCTTGAGGAACTTCAGAATTTCCTATTGCCCACACACGAAGAAGAAAATCTCTCAGCAGAGGCGTAGCTAGGGTGGGGCAAGTAGGGCACCACTCGCAGAGGGGCGCCAAATGGTCTCCAAGACAAACAAGATTTGTTTCTGGGGGAAGAGGGCGCCAATACAGTATCGTACCCCGGGCGTCAGATATGTTCGCTATGCCATTGTCTCTCAGTCAGTCAGTCGGCCATGGCATCTGATGACGACATACTGACTGTTCTTGGATGTTTATTGGCAACAAATTCTATTAAAACTCGCGGGAAAAAAGTATGCATAGAAGTCTATGGTGTAAATAGTAGTAGTAGTGGTTTGGGTAGCACTGATCACAAAATTAATTTTTCATATGAATAATTTTTTAATGGAATTATTTCAGATCACAAAATTAATTTTTCAAGAGAAATTTTGGGCTATAGATTCTGTTAAAAAGCATCAATTATCAGCGAAAGATCAATGGCAAGTCGATTTTACTACCAAAAAAATTCATGGATTAAATTTTATAGACGAATATATATTAATAATTCTCAACCACATCCGATATTAGTACAAATTGTAAACATTATTATCGCAAATTAATTTTATAATTTAATAATTAAAAAGAATTTATTAAACTTTGTCTTATTTTAAGTTGTCATGTTTTAATTTACTTGGATATTAAAACAATAAATTTTTTAAAATGTAGAAGAAAATGATAAAGAGTATCAAGATGTTTTATGAAAACGGAAGAAATGAATTGAGAAGTTTTCTAAATATTAAAATTATTTATAATTTTAATTTACTCAAGAAAGTTTTGATCTGAAAATAATTTATAACCTGAAAAATTAATTTTTTAGGTTATAAATAATAAAAGTTAATAAGGTTATAGAAAATAATTCTTCCAAACATTCACGAGACATTGTTCTAACTACTCAGCAGTCTCACAACTGAACGACACACACGTTAAGGTCGGCCTGCGCAGTCTGACACTGCACCAGGAAAATCAAATGGTTTTTCTATTCTACTCCGGTGGTCAGTACAGTCCGCCAAAACTGTTAAATTTCCCCCCCCCCACACTACCAGGAATTACTCAAGGTCAGGTATGCACAGTTAATCCTCAAAGGATTTACTTAATGTGTATGGGCCCCTATAGGATCTGCATCAGTTCAAAAATGTTCAATAGAATTAGAATGCTAAATGATCGGATTTAAATATTTAGTGTTCAGATATTTTAAAATATTTAAATTTGATCGTTTAACATTCTAATTCTATCGAACATTTTTAGACCTTATGCAGATCCTATTAGGATCAAAAATGTTTGTCATAAAATATTTACTGTATATTAAATTTTATTTGCTGCTATATTTTGAAGGTTTTTGTTGGTGTTTTTTACTAGTATAAAACCAGCTTTGGGAAGATTTAGAATTCTTTTTTTATTTGGCCCAATCTTTTAGTAGGCTCTGACACTGTACCTGTACATCAGTGTTTTTCAACCTTTTTGAATATGCGACCCCTTTACAAGTTAAAAAATTCTGGTAACCCCCCTAGGACCATATTAAAACTATATCAGTGATCTTAAAAACTATGTATTTAATTTTCTTTCTGTTGAGACAAATTATTGTTGATTAAAATGAAAATTTCAGAAGAATCGATAATAATTTAACACACATAAGGTATGAAACTTCCTTTAATTATAACATTAGGCATAGGTAACGGTTAAATTTTTTTTCTTTTTTTTTAGGATCTGACTTTTCTACTTTTTATTTCCTTTTGCAAATCAGCTCAACACATTTTCTGCTGTCATTTTCTGGGGTGGGCCCTAATTCTTGCTGAAATTGTAGTTTTATTAATGTAGTGTAGGACCTACAAACACTTGTTTTTTTTTCTATCCCCCCGTGTAAGACTTTGCAACCCACAGGTTGAAAAACACTGCTGTACATTATAACCACATACATTTTTTTAAAGACATTCAATTATAACCAGAATTTAACATAAATTATAAAATATATTAAGAGAATTTTGCAATAGCAAATATCCTTTTCCTCAATTACAGTTCATTTCAAAATTATAAACACATCCAACTTTTTTCAATAACAAAAACATTAACATTAGTAATGTATTTATTATATTAGTATGTTGTTTACAACATCAATTTAAATATTTTCTGAAATTTTTAGAGCTATCTGACAATTACAAAAAAATTATCAGATTTTCAATTTTTGATTGTTTCAAAAGTATAAACACAGATGTTTAAAAATATGATTTGTGATGTCTCAATATTTTGTAGGTCCACCATTTGATTTAATTAATTCAAATACTATATCAGACATACATTTTACTAGTTTTTGAAGTTGTTTAATATTTCCACGATAATCCATGATAGCTAATTTCAGTTCATTTACAATGTTGTATTGTCTGTTTTGGCCATAAATAAGATGACTTAGAATGCCCCAAACATTCTCTATTGGATTCATATCAAGACTCCATGATGGCCAATCAATTACATTAATTTTTTTCAGTAAACCAATTTTTAGTTGACTTTGATGCATGAATGGCAGCATTATCCTGTTGGAATTGCCAGTTTTCTCACCTAATAAGTGATCCAAAAGTTATTAAATTTTGATACAATAATTCTTGATATTTTTCTGAATTCATTCTACCTTCTATATATACAATGTTTGTTTACCCCTCCATCCAAATCCTGCTCACACCATCATAGAGATTCCCACCTTGCTGTCTGCTCATTCTGACTTCTTCATTCTTCCTCAAATCATGCCAGTAGTGGCAGTAACTGTCAGGTCCATCCAAATTCCATTTTTTTCATCTGAAAAGACTATTTGTTCCACTTCTCTTTCCATGTCATCTTGTCTATGGTCCACTTAAATCTAGCTGTTTTGTGCAATTGTATTAATTTCAGTTTGGCAGTGATTTTTGTAAATTTGGCATTTTTATGATTATGCATACATCTCCATACAGTTTCTGGTGAAACTGCAATTGGCAATATTGATGCTGATTCTCTGACAGCCAACTTGTTGACTGTCAGTAGTCGAAAAACCTTTCTTTCATTTCTAGGTGTAAGGAGTTTAGGCCTTCCACATCGCTTATTTCTGTCATAATTTTCATCCAGAGTTAATACATTTCTCATAGCACATGCAGATCAATTTACAGTTGCCGAAATTTGTCTTGGAGATTGTCCTGCTCCTTTTACAGTAGAGCGTCGATTTTCCGAAAGTCAATCATCCGAAAGAATTATAGTCGGCAAATTTAAATTTCCGCCAGTGCTGTGGCGCTTCAATCTTTGGCTATGTCTTGGGCTACTCAAATATTTTACGTTTTTGATACTAAATTAGCATTTGAAGTATAATTTTTTATAATTTTTATATTTTTCAATATATTTATTTTGTTTGTACAAAATAAATAATTTTTAATGATACAATAGTCTTTGTTAGACTTAACATCGACGAAAATTCAATGCGAAGCGACACGCAATGGAGAAAAATTTCGACATCGGATACGTTAAACTATTTTTTCGTGCGTAAATCAGTTATCTGAAATATCAATTATCCGGACAACCCCAGTTCCCAATTGATTCGGAAAATCGACGCTCTACTGTAGTTGGTAAATTTCACATATTTTCAACTCTGTTAGTGTTTTTCCACGAGGCATTGTTTTAAATCATAAAAAACCATTTAAAATTAGCCCCACATTTGTAATAATAAACGATACTATCCTCTGGTGACAACTAATTAAACCAATAATTAATTAAAAACTTATCATGCTAATTTTATGCATCTGTGTTTATACTTTTGAAACAATCAAACATTGAAAATCTTTGATAATTTTTTTTGTAATTGTCAGATAGCTCTAAAAATTTCAGAAAAATGTTTAAATTGATGTTGTAAACAACATACTAATATAATAAATACATTACTATTGTTAATGTTTTTGTTATTGAAAAAAGTTGAGTGTGTTTATAATTTTAAAAACGGACTGTAGTCCTACTGAAGGCCTATTGTAATTATTTTATTATTGTAGTTTATCGGCATGCTGAATTCATAAATATTAAACTTAAAATGGGTTAATATGAAAAGTTGAATTTATCTATCATTTTCTCTTATAGTGAACATTGTGTATGTTTAAACATTATATGTCAAAAGAGTATGTTAAAATAAAAGCTCAAACCCTCATTAATTGAATCATTTCAATATATGTTAAAAATTTATTCAAATTGTAATTTCTTCTATTTCAGGAAGAACAACTTATTCACAAATTATTCAAGGTTCTTGTCCCACGTTACAATTCTTACAATGAATGTTACACTCTTCTGCATATGGTACCTAAACAATTTGAAAATACAGTAACAGGAAAAGATAGAAAAAGTTTACATATCAGTAAGAGAGCAGTTCTGGAATTAAAAGGTAAATTACAGAATTACATAGAAACATAAATTATTTTTACATTGAAATTTTAAAAGTGATAAGTAATATATCTTGGATATCTTGGTAGACAAATTGAAGAAAGATATAAAAAAGACTAATTATTGGTATATACTGAATTTGTATTTTATATATATATAAAATAGAAATTCAGTTGCTGTTGAGCTTTTCTCCCATTGATACTAGCAAAAAAAATTTTAGATCAGAAATGCATAATTTAGTTCTTATTTTAACAAAGATTAAGATTTGAAAGATTGGTATTATTTAAAAAATCATGTAACAAGCCATCAAAATTTTAAATACAGCAACAAATTAAAAAAATGATTCATATCTTCTGCATGCCAGGTCATGTGAAAGCAATTGATTAGAAATAATATCCAAAGATATATATAATTTGAAATGTTTCTTAAAATGTATATCTTACTAAAATATTAATCATGTGATTTTCTTATATTTCTAGGTAATCCATTTCCTCCCATGCCTGGTAGAATTGCACCGAACAACAGATTCTTAACAAATATCTTATTGAACGAAGCAAAGAAGGAGTTCCTAGCACAAAAATGTCAAAAACAACAAGAACAAGAAATGCATACTGAATGATTTGAAGTGAATATTTGAAGCGTAGAACATCAAAACTGTAAATAAATCAAATTTAATGTTCAAATAAAAAACTTATTCCATAAAACATTCATTTATTTTTCAGTATTTTGTATATTACAGTGACCTATTTCTTTCTTTGGAAGTGTTTTCAAATTTATTAAATTAACAACAGCTTCTCTGTATTGTTTAAGAGTCATTTCATCTTCTCCTTCATTCTTAAGTTCAAGAATTGCTTTTTCATATGATTTTACTTCATTTAGAACAAGCACATCTCTTTTATCATATTCATTAGGTAAACTTTTGATATATGAATCTTCTTCACTTTTATTCTAATTAGCATAACATAGTGTTATTAAATAAAATTTCTATTATATTTTTAAATAGTAATAATAAATACCTTTTTGTCATATTCTTTAACACATGAAACTAATTCTATTATTTTTTTCTGGGACAAACTATTTTCCCAAAAAAATTTTTCCATATCTGCTTCTGTTTTCTCTGCTTCCCAAGGCTCAGTTTTCTGTTTTAATATATTTCATTATGCAAACAGAATATATTAAAATAATGTAAAATTCATTTTTACTTACCCAAGATTCATAAAATAGTGCAGTTAATAAATAAATAACATAATCTTTGTTTTGTTGTCTTAGTGGACATCTAAGAAATATATCAGAATATTAATGACTCTAATTTAATTTGGAATAAATAGAAAACAGTTACCTTTCTGCCACTAAAGTTAACATATCTGTATTTGGATCATAACGTTCTCCAACTAAGCGCAACAACTTATCACGTGCATGGTAATCGAGAGTAAGTGATGATAATTTTATCTGAAAATATAAATAATNACTATGCAGGCGCGTAGGGCCCCAAAGGGGCTACCGCAGTCTTTAAAATGCTACTGTAAAAAGGTATTGCAAAAACGCAGAAGATAGAAATAGTCCAGAAAAAAGCTTTGATATATATAGATATATGGAAGTAATAAATGATATAGCTTTATGGCTAACAATATTAACAGATGCTATTATTGATCATATTCTTAAAAGAAACCAAAAAGTATAGAAAAGTTTATGTACTTTTAATGTGACAATTCTTGCTTTCGGTTCTCTGATAGATGGTGATGAATAACAATAATCACTAGTAATATTTATGTACTTTTAATGTGACAATTCTTGCTTTCGGTTCTCTGATAGATGGTGATGAATAACAATAATCACTAGTAATAAATTCAAGTGGAAAATATTTATCGCAGATTTCATCAGTTTCTAATTTTTCTGGCCACTTTGTACAAAATTCTGAGAAAAGTAATGGAGAGATTAAAGTGTGTAATATTATTTCTATATAATAATGATATAAAAATTGATATTGGGATATATAGCAAGTCCTCAATGCTGTCAATAGGTTCTTGGAAATTGTGATGTTAAACAAAATGACATATGACAAAACCAATTTTACTATAGCTAAATGATAAAAATAAGAGTTAAGTTTCCTATTGGATCATGTTTCTACCTCATACAATCAATTTTATTGTTTATAAGAAAATTCAACAGCAATAATTATAAATGATTAAAATGTATCTTTCCTCAACAATGTTATAATGAAATGACATTAAGTGAAGACTTGCTATATAATGCCATCATCTTAAATTGGCAATCACTTAAATAACAAATTGAAAGGAAAAATATCAGTTTTTTGTAATTAGTTTAACATTCACTCAGAATATAAATGTCATTTTCCTCCTCTGCTGAATCATTTCAAGAAAAATTGCCTTGGAATGGCATGTACTCATTTAAGTGTATTCAATACTGTACACTTAAATGAAATATTCAATGTTTTTAAATATTTTCACTGTTGATGAGGGAAGAAAATAAGGATTCGAATATCATTGAAAAATGATAAAATTCCCAACATGATAATACCAATGCTAGCATTTGTATATCATGTTCTAGTAATAGTTTTTACATCATTTTCAATATCAGAGTGCAGTTTGATTTGATTCAACAAAATTTATGTGGTCTTGCAATAATTCACCTCAAGCAGTTTAAAAGTATTTAAATTATCCATATAAAGTAGTCATGCAATTTTTTCTTTCTATCTAGGAAACAATAATTTATGTTTAGATATGAATGAACAGTCAACAAATCAGTGAAACTGAAATGAACTTGTTTCTTCCTACTGTCAGAGTTCTTTTTTGCTTAGGTGCCATTTTATTGAAACTACATGGCATTGCTTCATATGAAAAATTCAAATTTCATTTGTAATTGCCTTCATTGAGATATTTGTAAACATGATATTTTTGTTGACATCAGAATCCATTTAAGAATCATAATAAAAAAATTTGGCACCAAACATCTCAACATCATAGGAATCCAAGAAAATACAGACTAAATATAAAATATAACAAGTATAAGTAAAATTTCTGAGATTCAATAAAAAATTTTAATTTTAGAGAAAAAATTTTAAAAATATTGTTATTAATTCTCTTCAGGTTGACATAATTATTATAAATTATCAAATCTGCACAGATGTTTGCTTTTGAGGATATCAAATTAGTATAAACTAGAAACATTTTTTCAATAAGTTGATATTTTTTTAAAAATTAATTAAGTAAAACAATATATTTAAGACCAATCAGAAAAATTAAGTACAGAAATTTGGGATTATGAATAATTAGGAAATATGAAATAGAGAAAAAACTATAATTTTCAAAACTAACTTTTAATGGCCTCGCAATGTTTTTTGATAGCAGGTGGAGTTAAATGAAGAAAATTGGGTATCTTCATCAATTCTGCATTTGCAAATTTTCCAGGTGGTGCACCTTTTTCCACATAACCCTGTCTTAATGGGAGTGGAACTACAGATGGACGAAAACTTTGAGCCATCGGCCAAACATTCATCCAAGGAGCATCGGTTGGTAATCTTAAATAACGAGGTGGAGGTGTCTAAAAATATTAAAATTAATATTAAAAAAAGTATAATGTTAAATTGAATTAATTAATTTTAGTACATATGTAAAATATCATTAAACACTTCACAGATTTAACTCAAAAATTTCCAAATAATTTTTCTTTTAGAAAATATTATATTTAAGTTGAAATGTAAATAAGTTAATTTATCCCTCTATAAGCATCTATCATAGAGCATGGTAGAACTCTATAGTAAAGCTCTGCCACATGATTAATGTTAAAGTGCCAACTTTGACTCTTAAATCTCCATGACCAATGAACCAATTTGAACAAAGTAATATTGAATAAATTCATTGGACATTTTGGACTTATATGATCAACATTTTAGCACCTAGATTTACAATGAGAAAGAATAGTTTTAAAAGGCTTTGAGCCTTACAGTCATTGCACCTACAATAATTTAGCAGAACATTAGAGCACTGTTCCGCAACCAGTGTGCCCTCACTAGATGAAAACTGTGATGTGAACTTTTACATATTCTATTAATTCCAAGTTTTATTTATATATTTTTATCACAATTGCTGCATTTCTTATGCTTGTGTTTCAAGTGTTATTTCATAAGTGCTGCAGCACTTATGAAATAAGATGATGATTGTTTATTCTTTATTATAAGCCACAAATTTTTATGTATTTTAAGAAATTAAATTAAAATAAATTTGCTCACGGGTGTTGATGTCTGTTTAATAATAATAATAATATTATTATTATTGCATCTATCATAGAGCATGGTAATAATAATAATATTATTATTATTATTATTATTGTGTTGGGGTTCACACTGGTGACTGTGTACCATGTCAGACTAGAGTCAAGGCATAGCAACCAAAAACTAAAATTAAATAAGTGTGTCAGTGTCTGTATTCAGGAATTTCCTAAGAATGTGGCATGTATTCAATATAGTGGCCTTCTGTAGTGTGATGCATGTATTTCTATTCAATTATAATGTTCCCAGGCTTTTGTGTAGTGTGTGTGGTATCACACCTGTACAGGAGAGAACGACAGGTACAATAAGCACCTTATCCATCCTCCACAGATGCCTTATTTCCTGGGCAAGATCTGTGTACTTGCTAATTTTTTCAGTGCATGTGTTTTGTACATTGCGAGTGTTTGGAATGGCTGTCTATAATGTATGTGGTTTTATTGTGTTTGTCAATGAGTGTGATGTCTGGTCTGTTGTGATAAATTGTTTTATCTGTGATTATGGCTCTGTCGTAGTACATTTTGTGCATGTTGTTTTCCAAAACTGTCTGTGGAATGTATTTGTAGTATGGTTCATGGATGTCTTATTATTATTATTATTATTAATAGGTTAGTGGCATTACGTAATTCTATTGATAGTATCACATCATATGCTTTTGAGGGGAATAACATTTTGGTGTGCCGTGTTGGGACATGTCGAGTCATGCCGCAAGTAGAAAAAGGTTGCAGAACACTGCATTAGAGACCTTTGAGCATTATTAGTGAAAGAACTTTAAGACACAAAGTAAAGCTGAAAGCCTTTTTCTGACAGTGCTTGTTTTCCTGATTTATCATCATGTGACACTGCTTGTTTTCCTGATTTATTATCATGTGACACTGCTTCATCTAAAACTTCCTGTAGTTGTAGTCTGTATAAAGTGCACTCTATTCACATGTTGAGTCTTATTTTCTAATCTGGTTCCAGTATTCTTAGGCCACAACTTCCAAAAGTTTTTTAAAAATGTTTTTGCTAACCTTTACTTTTCAACCTGATTCCACCAGTTTTTTTATAGGATCATTTAATTAGATTCAGTATATGGAAATAAAATTATTTTTTACAGACTTAAACATTATTTAGTAAAGCTTTAAATACAAAGGCAAATTACTTCATCCTGATTAAGCTCAGCTATATGCTATAAGTAAAGCATTTTCTTTTTTTTTACCACAATGCAACTTTTACTCATAAAACTTTGAGGTACATATAATACGAGAATATTAGAATTTTGACTTAGTGGAAATTAGTAAAAAAAATAAAAAGTGATTTTCTTTAACATTATGAAAATTTATTTTCAAACATTTGTTTGAACTCCTTCCAAGCAAAATAATAAAATGATAATTTGTTAATGAAATAAAGGCAATCATTCGATGTTTTTGAGATAGATGATGATGTGTGCCTGAAAGAGGAAAGTAAAAATTTGGAGTTTGAAAAGTTCTAATGGTTTTGAAGTGATTTTGAGTAGAAAAATAATTCATTAAAATTAATGATAAAAGAAAGACATCTGTATATTTAATATGAGAATACACAGATATTTCAATGTTGAGACTCAAGAAATGTCTCATAACGAAGATTCTCTTTTTAATTCATTCTTGTAATTCATTACAACTTCTCAACAAAATATATTTTGAATGAAAATCAATTGACATTAATTAAAACCATTTTAGGTTATAGGAGGGAAACTTATTACTTTTAACATTGATTTCACATTATCCTCTTGGAGGTGCACATTTACACCTATCTACTGATTGGTTAATGAAATAAAGACAATTTTCATTTTATTATGTAATTTGAAAGGATTCAAATAAACTTTAGAAAAAAATATTCTCCATTGATGTAATGTTAAAGAAAATCATTTTTGCTTTTTACTCAAATTTCATCAAGTCAAAACTTCTTATATTCTAGTATTTATATACACCTCAAGGTGTTGTATTATTTATCACAATTTAGTCAAAACTTCTCTCTCAATGTTACAAAAAGTCCTTATGAAATGGGGGTTTATACACATTTGTAATTCAATTATCTTCATAGATTCTTACTTGATTTCATAAGATGGAAACAGTGGGTTAATGAACATAATCCGTTCCAAGACTTTGTTCGCTATCAGAATTGTTTGTTAACTGATTGTTGATTACTGTAGGTTTTTATGGAAATTTGATTAATTTGTTCTGGAGATCCCAAAAAATAAAAAATATATATTTTCTTACTACATTCATTTATATGTAATAATAAAAATACATATATACACAGTCTTGTATTTTTATTAGTCATGTTTTTTCCATTTGTGGGGGTTAAAGAATCTGTCTAATGTCGATTGCTTTTCTCTCTTCAAGATTTTTCAGAAGTAATTAATATCATTGTAATTGTAGAGATCCCCAAGGTTATTAACTTCAACCTGGTTTGAATGCTATTCTAAGACCGTCGTTCCGACATCATCCCACTTCTTAAGAAAAAAAATTGTTTAATAGCAGGTATCAACATATGTTTTCTTCTGAAAAAGAGAATTAATGTCACTGAGTTTCTTGGTATTCTTCATTCAAGAGTTCTTTTGGTATTCTTCTGTCATCAGATCTGTTTCAGGTTCCTTTATGAGCTCTTCAATGTTCTTTATTTCTCAGATGTGATTTTTGCTACTCCTTTAGCTGCTTGAGTCTTCTTGATTATACTATATCTTTCTTAGATAAAATTGAACTGTGGCCTATTGTAGACCTGTTCAAGCCATACAGCCCAGCAACAACAGACATCAGATATCTGCCCACTTTCTACCTTTGCTATTATACTTTCACCTTTCGAAAATAAAAACCGACGCAAAACTTAACGAGTGCCTGCCTGACAGTCTCATGAATACTAGAAAAAAATTTTTTCTGTCAGAAAAATAAAAGGCTGGAATTACAAGGGAGAGTTTCAAAGTTTGGAGGAATACTATCCAATCAGTATATACTGGGTTGAATGTTGATGTCGACGTCTCCCACGCTCCAAAATGTTTCGAATTGTTGATCACCCACTGTATTTGAAATAACTAGAAAAAGTAAGCTATCATTTTCCAAAGAATTGTGATTCTTTACAAATATATCATTATTCATTCTGCAGATTTTATAAAAAGCAAAATCAGGTTAGGATAAGTAGGACGGCAAAATATAGATAACAACATTACCAATTAAACAGAAATTCAGTCATTTGTTATAATTTACATTCCAACAAGCAACTATCATTTTTGCTCTAGACAAGTCTGTAAAACAAAAGTAAAATTATCCACAGAGACCAGTTAGATTTTTTGTTTGTTTTACATCTTGTGTGTGAAAAAATACTAGAACAAATATTCTAGTAATTTTTCAACATTTCACAATCAAAAACTTTTTAAACACAGGATCCGAATCCGAATCACTCACCGGTATTTTCTGGGTTGTTTGTTGACGTCGTCTACTTCGTTCGACCTTTTTACTTAACTCAAATTTTCTAAACTCTTCATCTGAAATAGAAATTCCAGTTCATTCATGAAAAACCTCGTAATGTATATATACAATTAATTTTATCTACGCCTCGCTTTTAATTTACCATTCTTAGGTTGGTCGGACGCTGCTTCTGTCGAATATCCTAATAAATTGGTCCTTTTGTAAAAATACGAGAATTTTCGATTCGAAGAACGAGATATATTCAGTAATAAGCGAAATTTCGTATCCATCTCGTCTTATCGTAGTTGTCGGACTTGAGTTACACAGACTATTGCGCCCCATGGCGGTAGTAATATGTTCCTCAGTATTTATAGGTCTGCTTGTAAACGGAGAAAAAAGTGATCATACTTTGTATACAAATCTCGATGTGCGTAAAGTTTAGACAATCGCTTATCTTGAAGATTTCGTGACGAATGATACTGTTGTTGTTTAGAATTTTTTTTTCTTGACGGGTTCAAAATGATAGCAGTTATCCAACCGATGTATCATAGTGTCTTGCTCTGTCGGGCAGAAGGTACAGCGTACAGCGATCAGTATTTTTCAGGTAACGTTTATGGAGAAAAGAATTAGTGATGAGGGAATTGGTTCTGGCCTGATGAATCAGGATAGTAGTGTAGCGGTCCGTATAGTCCATGATGGGGATGTGCCGGCCGATGATGAGCCAGTGATAGTCTGTATGGCTGGGAAAATTATGATGTCCATTTAATGTTTGATTTCAGTGTTTATAATGCTGATGTAATCCTCCGGAGTAATATAATGGGTTTTTTTGGTGTCGTAAGGCTGGCTCTTAACAAGTTTTCCGCTTGTTCGTTTATAGTTATCCCTTTATAAGCTGGGGTCCAAACGAAACGCGTCTGTTGTTGAGACTTATAATGGTGTGAATGATGGATGAAGCCTTATCGTGGTGAGCGTTGATGGCGGTAAGGATAGCTTGGAGTCCGTGCACACGGTGATGTTGCTGTTAGAATCAGTAGCATGTAGCGCGCGAAAGATAGCGAATACCTCGGGGATAGCCTCGGGGTGAAGAGTCTAATGGGCCTTGATGTTGGTGTAGTTGGTGAACGCTGCCATGACAGTCGTGTAAGATATTCAGAAGCTTTCTGCTCCTGTTCCGAATGTATTGAATGTGGGTGTTCCATATAAGACGTGCAGTAATGTAGACGCCAAGTAGATTGATTTTGGAGACCTCGAGGATTTGTTGGTTATTGAGGACGAAATCCTGGTTGCCGCGTATTTTAATGAGTATGCGCAAGTTCGCGCACTTTCGTGGTTGGCACTGAACTGAATTTTTCTGAGACCATCTGCCGAAGTTGTTTAAAAATTGGACCGTGTTATGATGTAACTGGGTCGGGTCAGCACCATGCGTGACGGCTGTAATATCGTCTGTGTAGACATAGTATTCATTTTCGAATTGAAAGATGTCATTCATGAAGATGGCAAACAGGAAGGGGGAGATCACACTAACTTGAGGGATTCCTACGCATTGGGTACTTCTAGGAGAGAGGTAGCCCCTCCATTTGATTTGTACCTGCCTGTTGGACAGGAAGTCTTGGAGCCAGAGAATTGAGTTGTCTTTTAGGTCTTTTTCTAAAGCCTTCCGTATAATAGCGAGGTTGAGGCCGAAGTTTCAAACGCGAAAGCGTGTACGTCGGACGTTCAGCGCCGCTTTCCTGTAAGCCTAGAAGTTTGACAATGGTGTTTGTGGTGTTTGGATAGTCAAAGGAATCATGCTCGACATTCAAACACCATTGTCGAAGTTTCAAACGCAAAAACACGTTTTTGCGTTTGAAACTTCGACCTCAACCTCACTAATATGAGGGTGATTGATTTTGTCGTAAGCACTGCAAATATCGAGAGTAGTAACATTGATCAATGGCGTAGCGTAGCGGGGGTGGCAGGGGCAGCCCGCCCCGGGCGGCACTTTTTAGGGGGCGGCAAAATTACCTTTTAGGGGGTGGAAAAATTTCACAATAAATAATAATAATATCTTGTAAAAATTTGAACCATTCTAATCTATATATGCGTCGCGCCTACGACGATAGTGCTATCGGCTCACCGTCCGGATGAACTAGTAATTTCATCCGAGCATATCCTGCGGAACCTGTTGACCTTATTTTTTTTTTTTTTTTTTTTGCTTGTACAATTCATTCGCATTCATATACACCACCAATATCCAATAGAGCTATTTTAAACAGGTCGCTGCACTAGCATGGAATTTTTCATTGCTTGTTCTGTGACAAAACTGAATTTTAGTCTTTTAAATTGAGATACCTAAATAAGGGGGCGAAATTTTCCTCCGCCCCGGGCGGCTGACACCCACGCTATGCCACTGACGTTGATGTAGTAGCCTTTATTCCGGAGGGTGTATAGTTGTAGCTTGAGTTAATTAATAAGTCCCGAGTGTCTATGCCGGAAAGGCCTCCAAAGTGCTTATAATTAAACCAATTATTGTGAGTAGCTATGCGCTGTAATCTGTAGAGAATCATCCGTTCCATCGTTTTCATGACCGTGGAAGTAAGCGCTATTGGTCGGTAGTTCTCGACCATAGTCGGGTCTTTACCTTGTTTGTGAATGGGGAGGATGATGGTATTTTTTATCTTCGGTGGTATGTTGCCCGACGACCATATGGTGTTGTAGACCGCCAACGAGATGTTGATCCCGTAAATAAGGGATGAAGAAGTTGAGGAATTTGGTCGCTTGATCTTTCGGGGTTATTAGTGTACAGTTGACGTGCCGCAGGATGAGTTGGCTTGGGAGGAATTGTTACTGTTACGGAGCATCCTCGGCCGCGGAGGATGCTCCATATGTTATTCTTGTAAAGGGGAGAGGACGCCATGCGTTCCCAAAAAGCTCGATTCAGGGTGACGATGCAGCGTTGTAATTCTGCTGTGGCTTTTTTGGCTTGGATCGAATTATCACGGTTGATGTGTCTGTGATATCGATGATAAGCTTTACGCTTGGATTCAAGCGGTCGTTGACAGTCGAGATTTCACCACGGGGGTTAGGAGGTCGGTCGCTCAGTCTGTTATTACTCCGCATGGCGAACATGTTGTGATATCGTTGGACGATGACCGTCCAACGATATCACTGTTGTTAACTACTCATGGCGTTTACGCCATGAGTAGTTAAGTCCATTCATTATGTGCCGCCCAGGAGACCAAGGTATTCATGGCGTTTACGCTATTCGTGGACGCATTCCAGTCAGTCTGTTGATAAGTTTTGGTGTTGTCAGGTATGGACGTGTGAAAATCCGGGTTATTTAAATAACTTTACCGAAGTCAAATCCGTGCACTACAACTTTAGAACGATTAATTAATTTTGATAAAAAAAATTCCATTAAAAAACAATTAAGCCTTAATCGAGCCTTATCAAAGGCTAATTAAAATCGCGATAAAATTTTTTTGCGCGGGTAAAAATTTTTGAAAAAATTTGGAGACAAAATACATTCCAAAAATTAAAAAAATGGGGGCCGAAAGGACCGCATTTTTTTGTAACGTTATGTAACATGCCCGAGTTAACTCGGGACTGAACGTTATTGTTACGGGGATGATTAGGGTAGTGAGGGCGTATGAGAGGAAGACCAACAGTCATCATACAGTGCTTGCTACCATAATCTTGGGAGTAAGAGTCCCACGTTTCTTGGAGTGCAATATCGGTAGTGATAAGAGTTAATTCGATGGCGGTGCCTGGACCATTGTCATTTAAGTGCGTGAGACGTCCATCATTGAGCAGATACAATGGGAGAGGTCGGTGAGGTCGGCCAAAATACGACCACGTATGTTGGTGGAGCGATTGTCCCACAGCATATGATGGGCGTTGAAATACCCACCCAATATAATGGACTGGTCCGGAATATGTCGGAAAAAGTCGTTAAATAATCCAGGCGGAAAGTAAGCATTTATTTCCTCGATGGCTTGTCGTACGTAAATTTTAACACTAAGCCATTCTGGATCGCCCTGACCATTTGACGTTCGGGAATCTGTATAAGAGCACGGAATAGATTGGTGAATATAAGTAACTAGGCCACCTCCAGTGGTGCCGGTGTGGTGTGTGTGGTAGGCAGTGTATCCCGGAAAATTGAATGTGATTGTTATGTTGGAACCAGGTTTCTTGGATGAGTATGACTTGATAATTTTCCCATATACGGTCGGCATTTAACTGCGTCATTTTATTTCGGAGACTATTGGCGTTTCATTGTAGAATTTTCATGAACGTTGCGAGCGGGTGTGGATGGCAGGCGTCTGTGAGGTCATGGGTGCTGGGTGTTGCTGGTCTTCNAGTATGACTTGATAATTTTCCCATATACGGTCGGCATTTAACTGCGTCATTTTATTTCGGAGACTATTGGCGTTTCATTGTAGAATTTTCATGAACGTTGCGAGCGGGTGTGGATGGCAGGCGTCTGTGAGGTCATGGGTGCTGGGTGTTGCTGGTCTTCCCGTTTTTGTTTTTGGGTTTTTTTGTTGGTTTTAGTTGGGTTCTCTATGGAGTAGTTAGGTGCATCCCTCGATCGCGTTGTTTTGTGACTGTCGTTTCTCCTGAGGCATCTTCGACAGTACTCCCCGTCTCGGTGGGTGTCGTTTGTGGTTGCGGTTTGAGAGGTAGACGCTTCGGCTCCTCTCAAACCGCACGTTGCTAGCGAGAGTTTCATGTGCCGGTTCAGAGAGGATCTCACAGGTGGTCTTGCTGTGTTGTTGGATAGTACTAGAGGTAGTGTGTNGTATGACTTGATAATTTTCCCATATACGGTCGGCATTTAACTGCATCATTTTATTTCGGAGACTATTGGCGTTTCATTGTAGAATTTTCATGAACGTTGCGAGCGGGTGTGGATGGCAGGCGTCTGTGAGGTCATGGGTGCTGGGTGTTGCTGGTCTTCTATGGAGTAGTTAGGTGCATCCCTCGATCACGTCGTTTTGTGACTGTCGTTTCTCCTGAGGCATCTTGGACAGTACTCCCCGTCTCGGTGGGTGTCGTTTGTGGTTGCGGTTTGAGAGGTAGACGCTTCGGCTCCTCTCAAACCGCACGTTGGTAGCGAGAGTTTCATGTGCCGGTTCAGAGAGGATCTCACAGGTGGTCTTGCTGTGTTGTTGGATAGTACTAGAGGTAGTGTGTACGCTTTGTTGAGTGAGAGACGCCATGAGTTTACTTTCTTCTACGATTTGTAATAGCTTGGAGAGTATGTTGTTTTGTCTGGCTAAAGCTTGCTTTATTGTGATGAACTGTTCCCACGGATCGTTAACTGGGGCAGATTGGATCGCAGCCTGACAGGGATTTGATTCTTGCCGTGGATTTGATTCT